GGGAATGCAGAATGCTACAAAATTGTAGCTACTTAACAGTGCAAACACCCGGCACAGCAGGTCTGTCCTTTTAGAGGAAATGAGCCTGGATCATGCCCCACATTTGAAGACTACGAAGTGCAGGATGGAGATGCAGGATTAGGTACAGTCTGCCAGGTTTGCAATGGCAGTAAGCATTTTCTACCTTACAGAAAACCAAGCATGCCTTATGGTGTGTAAGCAAGGTGTTTTCAGAATCCTCGATGAGAGCTGTAAAATGCAATGTACAACAATCTGAGATGTACTTCTATTTTCTTTACACACTTCCCATGACCTATCATAGAGGAACTACTGTTGGTGACTGCAGTGAAACTCCTGCTCCTTTTAGCTAAGAAGAAGCAGGCAAGCATTGTTTTCTAAAAAAATAAAAAAGGCATTTTTAAGTTAAGAGTTGCTGCTGTATAAGTTGCCTGATGGCTCATAATACATCTGACGGTCTGTGCTAAAAATACTGATCGCTAGACCACAACACCAGCAGACGCTGAATGAGCTGCATGGGTGACGCTGAGGTCAAGTGAGACCTGGGCATGTGTAGGTACAAACACTGTCACATAATAACAAGCTGGAGTTTCTCAATTTACGCTATGAATAGCTCTCCCCAGCATGTGCTGAGGCCAGAGTGAACTCAGTGTGGAGGCACTTCCTGGAAAACATTTGCTGTTCAGTTTTGCCTTCTTTCAGCCACTGTCACTTTTGGTAGAGTTTAATTTCAAAAAGGATTTCACTGCTTCTCAGTTTGGGCAAAAACTGCATCAGGCCACACCTCACAAAGCCAATCCACTGAACACAATTGTTCTTTCCTGAGTCAGATGTCAGTACACTTCTGTTCACTCGGGAAATGTAGGGAGCAGTTTGCCCCACATACTCCTAAGTAGCTTTCTTCAAAACAATTCACCTAACACTTTTTTCTTTTCCCTCAGGTTTAGGTAGTATTTAAATTTGAAAGCTGCAATTCATGTTCCTTCCCTGTTTTCTGGCTTCTCTGTACTTTCAGCTCATCTTGCCAGCTGCATTCCAGGGTACTTATGGGTTTGTACAGTCAGAACTTTGAGACATAAAGTCTACCCTGACCGTGTAATACCTGGTAAGTCTCAGTCACCTCTTAAAGGGTGATAGTGACTGGCTGTTCAAGGTATTGCATTTTTCACTATTTGACTAAATTCCCTGTAAAACTCCATCATCAGCCCTTTTGGGTATTCCTTTAAGATACTCCCTCGAAGACTGGCTGGCTGTGCTTCAGGCTGCCTTTGCTCCTGCCAATCCCACATATCACACGCTGACTAGGTTTTCCTAGAATCGTAGAACGGTTTGGGTTGGAAGGGACCTTGAAGATCATTGAGTTCCCATCCCCTGACATGGGCAGGGACATCTTTTACCAGACCAGGTCACTCAGAGCCCCACCCAACCTGGCCTTGAACACCTCCAGGAATGGGGCATCCACAACTTCCCTGGACAACGTGTTCCAGTGCCTCAGCAGCCTCACAGTAAAGAATTTTTTCCTAATAAATAATCTAAACTTATTCCCTTTCAGCTTGAACCCATTCCCCCCGTCCTGTCACTACATGCTCTTGTAAATAGTCTTACCCCATCTTTCTTGTAAGTTCCCTTCAGCTACTGGAAGGCGGCAATTAGGTCACCCCGAAACCTTCTCGTTTCCAGGCTAAAAAAAAAAAAAAAAAAAATTGAAAAAAAAGTGTTTTCTGCAAATTGCTTTGAGATTTGTGTCCAGTTTGGACAACCTTTATCTTAGAAGTTTAGAACAGAACTTCCAATCTGTTTTATACAGTCTGCTTATTGTACGTATTAGTTTACGCCCGTTCTTTTAGTAGCTTGTTTGGGGTATCCCACAGTTCTGAGCCGAGCTGAGCCGGTTGGCATTCCCGGCGAGCTCCCAACCCGGCTCGGGGCTCGACTGCTCTCGCCTGCCCTCCGTCGCCCCCGGGCGGCGGTGGAGCACCTCGTCGCTCGGCTGGCGCTGCCTGGCGGCGTTCTAGCCTCGGCTGCTCGGGCCTTGCTCCCGCGCTCGGCGCCGCCGCCGTTCGGGCCCGCTCGGCGCTCGGCTGGCGCGCCTGGCCGGAGCTCGGCTGGCGGCGGCGACACCGACGCGGGGGCTGCGCCCCGGCCCGCCCGGCCCGCCCCGCAGGTACGCCAGGGACCGCGCGCCGCCGGCACCGCGGCCAGGGCGCGCCGCCGCTCACGGGCGGGCGGGCGGGCGCGGCCGGCCCCGCGGTGGCGCCCCGGAAGGCGGCGGAACGCCCGTACCGGGCCGCGGCGGGCGGAGCGCGGCCGAGGAGGGGGACTCGCTGCCGGGGCCTTTGTGCGGGAGCTCCGGGGCCGCGGCCTTCCAGGGGAGGGGACGGCGGGGAGGCCGCTGCGCTGCCCCGGGCCGGGCGCTGCCGCGGGAGGGCGAACCCGCGGCGGTGCCTCCGCCGGCCGGGGGGACGGGACGGGACCGGAGCCTCCAGGGAGAGCGGGGAGCGACCCCTGCCCCGCCGGAGCGCTCCTGTAACCGGGTTTTGTGTCCGAGTTTGGGTGCCTTGCGCCTCTCTGCCCATCGCCCCCGCTCTCCCGGGGGTCCGGTCCGGTCCGGCGGCCGGGCTGCTCTGGAATCGTGTTTTTTGTCGTTGCTGTTGTTGTTTTCCGGCCTCACCCAAATAAAACGTGCAGGAAGTGTTGGTTGCTCTATCTGTTATGGTTTTCTCCTTGTGTTGCAGAGCACTTGCTTGTGAAAGTAGTGTTTGGCATAAAATACGTTCAGGAGTGCCCCCAGTTACCTCTTGTCTTGTGAGGGAGCGGGCCCAGCTGATTCACCAGCTGTAGGAACGTTTCTTGTTTTCATCTGCAACATTCCTCCAGACAACACCTCAATTTCTATAGTGTTTGTGTGGTGTTTTGAGATTATTTGTGATCTTGCTAGTACCGTGCGTTTTGCTGCCGCTGGAAAGCAATTTTTCATGGACTAAACCAGCATTTTATCTTCAAGAGATGCTGTGGGTGGTTATAGGTAGTTTTAGGCACTACACACTTTTCAGTGTCGTTTTGTTGTAACAGACTGATTCAAGAGTTGCTGTTATCTAGGTGCAAGCCCCTCCTCAGGAAGATTAGTTGTTATGAACGTGAAGTCAGTGCTCACTGCTGCTCCATTTTCTCCTCTGTATGAAGTGTGCTTTGGTCTTTATTTAAAAACCCAGTGTGTTCTTCTATATTTGTCCTTGTTTACTGCTCCACCCAGCTTGGTGTCCTCTGCAAGTGTCATCTGGCTTCTTTGCCTTTGCCACTCCCATCCTCTTTCAAATTGCTAATGGGAATGTTAAAAGGGGACCTAAGAATGACCTGCTGGTAATGTGCACTTACTGCCAGTCCATTACTGGATTGTTTAAGTTTGTTGTTGTGTCAGTTTTGAGAATGTGGTGCGGGGTTAAATCCATGCCTTATGGGTGACATAGGCAACAGGACCTGAAATTCTCTGCTAAATTTAAAATCCTTTTTGTGTTCTGAAAGGCTGCTGTAGTGCATTTTCTAACATTCAGAAGTGTTCAGTGTAGCTTGTATGCCAGTTCCGGAGTCCGCAATTGATGCTTCTGTAGTTTTTTGGTTTTTTAAACCTGGTCCACTGGTGTTTCAGTAGTCACGAGTGAGTGCGTTGTGCTCGTCTGTGGATTTGTGGCAGTGTGGCTGTTAAAGAGTAGGGCAGTTCATTAGCATTTATATTTTTCCTAATGCTTATAGTGAAAAATATATTTGGATCCAAATATCTGGACTTGCCTTTTCAGATTGAGTTGCTGGGCAGTTTATGCTGAGTGTTTACTTTGCTGACAGCTTCTTCTCAGTTTTCTTTCTTTTGCCCTTTTCTGAGTCATAACTGACCCTCTGGATTCTTGTTGGGTTGTTTCCTACTTTTCCATTTTCTGTGCAGCATTTCTAACCTTTATGCAGCTGTAACAACCAGTTCTAAAGAAGGCAAGAAATGATGCTGTGTGCTACTATCCCTCTGCCAGAAGTTTGGCATTTGGATACTTATTTTTTTAAGAAACTTCTGGAAAGATACCCTGGTATCTTTTATGCCGTGGTTAGCAAGCTAACTGAACCTGCTATTGCAGAGTTATTGTTGTTGTGAATACTTATTAGTATTACTAATGCAAATAGCATTAAGGTACTTTTTCTTTTCCCCCTACCGAGTTTTTATTACCAGGGACCCAATAAAGGGCAATAGTGCATGGTAATAGTTACTTTGTGTGATTTTTGGTAGTAGCCCTGTGCTAACCCAGCAAGGAGGGTGATAGAAACAAAATATGAATAAGGCAAGGACAAAAGAACTTTGGTTTACAAAAGTTGAACGACAATGGGGTATGCAGTGGAAGACGATTAATATTAGAAATCTTTGAATGGAAAGTTATTAAATGGTATAGTAGTCGCCTAATGAAAGACCCATTGATTGGGTTGCTTGAAACGAGAGTAGACCCACTCGTCTCTGCAAGAGAAGATGTACATGCCTGCCTCTAAGGACTTAACATGAGTTGTTAAGAACCCTGGATTCTTGTCTGGTAACTGTTGTCTCCAGTTCTGGTAAACTGTTGAAGGCACTCAGGACGCTGAGGTGTCAGGCTTGAGCGTGGAGAAGTCCTCTTAATCCGTGTTGCTCGCACAACTGCAGGTGTTCTCAGTGAGATATTTTGGGCTGTCCTTGCAGAGTGATTCCTGCTTCCTTCTTCCTGGTATGAAGTACTAATTCTCCACCTTGAGCAGCATAGAATTGCTGACAGGAATCTCTGCCCCGTGTTTTGGACACTTTCCCCCTCCCTTTTTATTTCTCCACAGTCTCAGTCCAAGGCCAAGAAGGGCAAGGGTGTCAAGAATTGGCTGTGTTTCTTTGTTCAGAGTCTAAATCTTCTTTGTCTCTCACCTCTTCTTTAGTGCTGATACATCTTTGTGTGAAGACTTCAGCTTCTGTCTGGATCGTTTTTGCTTTTTGTCTTGATAACTTACTTCCACGTCAGCAAGAAGTTGTATGGCCTGTGTTTTTTGAAATGTGTTCTTGCTTCCAGTTGTTTATTACTTGGGTAAGGTGCATATGCCTTAAGTGCAGCCTTGAATGCATAAAACACTTTGTCTTTACCTTGTGGTACCTGATGCTACTTCTGCTACTTTGTAGTGTGGGCACTCCCAAATTTTCTCTAATTTGTGATGTCACCTGGGGGGACTTGGTTGGGGCCCTTGAGGTTGAGGAACCTTGATATGACTTTGAATGTAAACACTGGGATTTTGAATTGAAAATTTCTTTACCTTTCTATCTAATTGAGAATAATTCTTTTAGGGAGTTAATCTGAATTCTGTGTCGCTCTGTTTGTCTCTCTCTCTCTGTTACTGTATCTCTCTCTTCTCTCTGCCCCTCATTTCCTGCTGGGCACAGTACTTAACAAAAGATGCCATGGTTTGAGTATGGAATTGTGGAAACCAACTCTTAATCTTCTGGATATCAGTTCTGTTGTTTGATTTATCTTACAGTTCTGTGAAATTATATTTATTCTCTTCCTATCTTCTGGATTGAAAGTAATATCTGTCTTCTCAAAAATTCATTAATTTTATTTGGAAATTGTAATAATAGTCAGGAAAGTGCTCCATATTCTCATTGGTGAATGAGACTGTCAGACTCCAGCCGTGGCTGATCACTTACGTTGATTTTTATTACTTCCCTTTTTATTTTTATCATTCATTTTCTGACCTTTAAGAGTTGATATCTGCAAGTTTCTCTCCTACTTCTTCATAATTTTGCTGTAAATAGCTAGCAGTTTAGTGTATTTATTTTGATTGAAAAGTTCTCCAAAGTATATTCAGCTCATTTAATCCAGACTGGGAAGACAAATTAAGATTCTAATGGCAGTCAGCTCCTCGTTGCAGTCACACAGGATCTTGAAATGACAGTGTACTATTGACATCTTTGTAATGTAATTGAATTTCCTGAGCTGCTTGTAGTTTCAGTTTAAAACACGGCATTGAATTTTTCAATCATGAAGCAGTAATACAAGTTATTTTTCTTTAGGAATCCTGATTTATGTGGAAGCACTTGCTGCAGTGGATACAATGTAGAGCAGTGTGTCTAGTGCATCTGCAGAACATTTGCTTTTGAATTACTTTCCCACCTCTCTCTGACCTTAATCAAAGAAAAATTTCAGCTTACAGAATTATACTTTGGGGAATATTTAAAAACTTTGAAGAGTAAAACCAGGGCCATATAATGGAAGTGCCTTCATGGTATTAGTTTTGGACTTTGTTGCATAGTTGCATCATAAACTTGCTGTCTCTTCTTCTAAGGCTTTTTAATAGTGTGGGGTTTTTCTTAAATTCTCCATATTTAGGGGCACTTAGTTGAAAACTGGCTCTTGCTCTAATTAAATTTTTTAATTAAGCTGTTGTGTTGTTTTTTTTTTTAAGCATAATCAAGGACACATAAGTAGAAACAGAACAAAAGAATGGATTCTAGTTTTGCTTTTTTCATTGTTTTGGTTTATCATGCTTAAGATAATGATTTGTTATCCCTCTGTGGACTGTTTGTGGGTTTTTAAAGATTCTAGTGCAATATAGCTTTATTTTCACTTTTCTGTTTATTTAGATATTACTGCAAGGTATCTTGAAGTTTGCTCCATGCAAAATGCTTTCTGGTGGGTTTGTTTTGTTTTGTTTTGTTTTGGTTGGTTGTTGTTTTGTGTTTCTTAAGTTTTTTGCTGATCAGGTACATTGCCAGAAATTCATATGGTCCTGTCACTTAATAAGGAACATAGTCCCGTTCTTCCAACACTTGTCTTAAGTTTTGACGTGTGCAACTATTCTGGATATGAGTCATGTCACCTATTTTTTACTAATTTTGTTGTTGTTATAACATTGCTCAAATTCCAGTGCTTCGTAGTTCAATTACTTACCAAACTAGGACTCCTTGAGTTGTCTTGTTTGTTTAGCTGAGTTGATGCAGTGCAGAGAGGGCAAATCAGCTTTTTTGTTTTGGTTTTACATAAACTAATTTTTAAATTTTGCTCATTCTTTCAACTGGAGACATGAAAAGGGTTAGTGGGAATGGCATGACATTTAGTATGAGTTGAATCAGTAGTTTTAATAAAACTACAACTATAATTCCTGTCTTCTATCCAGGATACCATTTCTGGGTTTCTTACATGGTATTGTTTTGTGCAGTTTAGGAAACCAATGGCATCATAATCTCTGTATTGCAGAAGGGAGGGAAACATGGATTGTGAACAAGGAGGGGAACTAGAAAGTCTCTGGAGCTGTGTGATTGCTCATATATATTCCAAATTATGTTTTAGGCATCTGGTTTGTTCTTGGAGATCTCCTGCCTGTGGGTCTCGAAACCAGGTTTTATTACTTAATCAATGAAGTGCCTGTAAAAGAAGGAGGGACTGTCTGTAGTCCTTGGCAAGATGCTTTGACTGTTTTCAGTGTACACAATGATTTATTCTTTGCTCTTTTGTGCTTCTGAGAAACATAAGGGGTCTTGATAAGAGAGTTGGCCTCAAAATCAAACTGTAAAATACAAGGGAGACTGACTTGTAGAAACTCTTTTGAGGAAATAGCATGTCTTGTGACTGCAGCCTTCATTGGGATCACTGTGAAGATAAAGCATTTGGGCTTAGTGCTGCACACACTGTTTTCATTGCCTGTCTTGTGATCTCCTAATCATTCTTGGAGAACCCACCCACATGTACAATAGTGGGAATGCTAAATTACTGCTAATATTTATTAAATTACTAAAATGTATTAAATACAGTAAACGGTTCTCTTGAATATATTGCTGGGTGTTCTAAGCCTGAGATGCTGCAGTTTACAATTTGGAATAGTTGCAGTGGCACACTCCATAGTTAGTGCTGAGCACTTCACTTAAGAACAGACATTTTGAAAACAGAAGTAACTGGCTTACAAGATAGGAAGGCCCTTGGCCAGAGCAGGGATAGCTCATGGTACTATCAATCTTGTTTCCTCTTTTTTTCTAGAAACAAGTTTGCTTGTGGTTTTGCAGGACAGTGACACGCCTCATTGTTCACAACAGTTTTTTCTGTTTTGTTGAGGGTTTTTTCCCCCGTGTGTTCTTTTAATACAAAGTATACAGCTTGCACTGCCCTATAAGATATACAGATCATATCCATTTTACAGTCAGTGTGTTCTGGAAGTCTTAAAACTCAAGAAAGTGACTTTGAGACAGAAACTACCAGCACATGCTTTCTTTCCTCTGCCTTTTCTAGGGAGGCTTATACATGTGTTCTCTCTGTGGATCCCAGACTGCAAAGTCAGTGACAACTTTTATATTTCATTTAATGTTGCCTCTTTTTTTCATCAGTCACTTGAGATCTCCTTGGGCAGCAGAACTGTCTGGAAATTATTTGGACATTTCTATCTTCTGGATAGATCTTCCTTTATAAATAGCTTTTACTGTTTGCAGCTTTATTTAATTTTTTTAAAACACTGATAGAGCTGTTTACACTGATTCTGTACACACACATTAGGAAAGGCTTTTAGTGTTGGGCACAGCATGCAACCACAATGTCCTTTGGAGTGGTAATAGATTTGAAAGCTGAAGGGCACAGAGAATAACTTTCTTCCCCAATGGAGAATTGAATAACATGAAATAGATATTATTCTTTGTATCAAACCCAACTGTGCTCTCAGCATGGGGGTACCACACTTGCCGCAAAATTAGTAACACCAGAGATGGGGAAGGGCCACGCTAAGAGATGGGACCATAATCTCTGTAAGATGCTGAAGTTTCTAACTGGAACAGTAAACCATTTCATAATGCATTAAATATCTTGACATCCTTTCTTTATGGCAATCTTGTCTCCCTATCTTTTTGTCAGTGTTTTCAGGGGTCCTGTACCACCATGAAGTTTTACCAGTTTGCTTCTTTGCTTTGATTTTCTAGAGGTTCAGTGTCGTAAAAGTGGCAATTACAAGTGAGCTTATATCACTCTAATGCTGGGAATCCTTCAGGCTTCTTTGAGAACAGCTGGTACAGAGCAAGTAAAAGGCTTGGGGTTGGGCTCTGTAATGCTCTTTCCAAAACTGTAAACAGCCCAGCATGTTGTCCTGAAATGCCCTGAAGGGAGAAAACTGTTAAGGAAAGAAAGCTGCCAATTATATAAAAATTTCTTGAGTCTCCACTTTCAGAATTTCTGTGGTGCCCTGGACCACATCCAGGGCATCAGCTAATCTTCCAGTTGTTGGACTCCACTTTTGGTCATCCTGATTAAACCAACCAAAACTGCTCCTGCCACCCCCCTCTCTCCAAAAAAAAAAAAAAAAAAAAAAAAAAAGAAAAAAAAAAAAAGACAAAGAAACAAAACAAAACACAAAAGACAAAAAAACCCTACAAAACCAAAAACCAACCCCCCTGAAAAAACAACAAGAAGAATACAGAACAATACCAATCCCTGTTTAGGTAGTCAGCTGTTTATCAGTTGTGATAGCGTGGGTATTTGTAATAGAAGCTGTTGCTGAATTAGTCCACCACTTGCCCAAACAGGTTTGATCCAGTGAGCTGCAAGTTTTCTTTATGCTGAGGCCCAAGAAGTATTTTCAAACCCACTGCATTTAATTTAAACTTTGTTAGTCAGATGGCTAATGAGTAGCTATAAATATGGTTTGTACTTCAGTAGTTTATCTGCTAATGGTCTTTAATAACATGCTGTCATTGTTTGACTTATATTTGAGGAAAATGTTTGGAATTGATTCAAGCTAATTCAGACAGGATAAAGCTTGGTCCCCAAAGGGGTCTAGGGTAACACTAAAGTCCCAGCATCATTCAAGGATACATTCAGTATTTTCTGAAGAGATCCCAGCTTTTAAAAATGTTGAACAGGTTAGCAGGGTACTGGGAAGGCATTTGAAGTCTGAGTTTTCTTTTGCTTATTTTTCAAATGGGATAAAGACGTGAGTCAGAAGAAGCTGAAAAGATGAGGGACAGTCCCTGAGGAAAAAACATTAAGGTCAGACACTCAGGAAGCTCACATGTTAAGTGTTTGTTATAGCCAAATCAGTTGAATAAATTAGGACACATACACAGAGATTTAGCTAAACTGTCTTAGGGTATGTACTTCATTTTATATAGTGGAGGTAACTTGGTCTTTCAGTAAGGTGAAACTAGAGGTTCACTGACTGCAGTTGTAGGTGTTATCTGTCCCTTTATTTTACAATGTGTAAACTTGCCCATGGCATAAATAAAGTTGTTTGTTAAACGTCTTGATTTCCTTGTTGCTACTGTACTTGAGGGAACATTAGTTCTTCTGAAAGGGCCAAAATGTTGCTAGGTTGTCAGAGCTTGTTCTTTCTCGGGAGTAATTGGGTTATCCTACTTGTAGATTATCAGGGTCTCTTAAGTTATGTAGTTTTTTTGGCCTTTACAGCAACCGAAAGGCTGTTCCAAAGCTTAATGTTTTACATCTCTTCAAACTTCCATCTTATTCCAGCTGCAGGTTTGATCTTCCATTGGTGTCCTGTTTCTGTGTTAATTCTCAGGTTGTTGTAGCCCTTACTCCTTAAATACACACATATAGAATATTCAGCTACTGTTTTCTTAATTTTACTAGACAAAACTAGACTTACAGTTTCCCTCTGTAAAATAGGCTTTTTGTTGCCTGTATTGTTCTGAGCTGTCCTTCTCTTCCATGCTGCTTACCATCTGAATCCAGTCATTTCTGAACACGGGTGACTGGGCCTGTTTGCAGAATCTCGACCAGGATTTATTAGCATTTGGTGAAAAAAGATTTTTGGTTTAGGAATTCCTGTATTATATTGTGCTTTTGGATGTATCTATTCCAGCTATCCTTGTTCTAGCTTTTTTGGGTCTGGGCTTTATTAATCTGTACAGTTGATTTTAGGAATTTGCTTGCAGCATGACATCTTGAGTTTTTGTGTTGCTTTCCAGTAAGACTTTTTTATTTTGTAGAATAATTCCTACCTAACGTTTTTGCTGACTTTCACAGATTCTCAAAAGAAGGCTTATTTTACACTGTGGAGTTCAGCTTCTCTAAAATACATGATCCCCATGCTGTTTACATTAAGCATCAGGGAATTTTCAGATAGCTTGAATTTCATTGTGGAGAATTTCTTTTCTAGGAAAATGGATGCCTTTACTTGTTCATTTCTCCGGTACTCTTTACTGTACTTTTGCAAACGAAAACTGGTCTGCTTTATTGAACTCATTTTCCTGGGTTATGTCTTCAGGCAGCTCCTCCCTGTAAGCTGCAGCTGTCTTAATCTGTTCAGGGTTTGGTTTTTTTTTTTGGGTGAGTGGGAAGAAAGAAAGGTTTGCTAATGACCATTCTGTCATTTAACAATTCATCTCCTGTGTTCGTTAACCTTTTTTCCCCTGTATGTGTTTTTTGCTTTTTAAAGTTACTACTTCCTTTTTCTTCTCTGTTGAATGTTGGCTGTTTTGTTCAGTGTAACATGAACTGAAGAGGATTTATCTTCAGATCTTTATGTTCTAAAGAGATGGCAGAGTAGTATGCGCGCTCTGCTGGGTTCTAAAGGTAATAGCATCTCAGCAAAGTTTCTTAGTTTACCTATTCAAAGAAACTTTCCTGGAGAGCTTTTGTGGCAAACTCCAATCTACACCACCACTCAAAAGCTGTGTAACTTGGTTGCTGTTAGAGTCACTGTATTTAGTTCTTTCAAATAATTCACTTTCTTTCTCTAGACAATGTGTATTAATGCTTTCCTTTGCAGCTCAAAGTGTATCAAAAGCATTAGTCTTTGCCGCTGTGCATAACTGGGGTGAACTGTTGTTCCAAGAGCAATGTAGATCAAAAGATGATGTGTGGACAGGTGGAATGAATAATCTTAAAAGAGTTGGCCAAGATGCCGCTGCAGTGTAAGGTTTGGTCCAATATATGATTATTTTTATACGTTGTAAGCTGTTGTGATAGAGCTGGAAGTAATTTGGACTTGAGATCTATCAGTCATCTGACCTTTGTAGTGATAATAATTACTGTTATTGAAATTCGAATTATTCCCTGGAGACTCCTCTGTCATATTGTCAATTTTGTAGTACTGTTCCTCTAGCTATCAGTCACACCTCCCAGATAGTACTTAAATCTTCAAAGTGTAATCTTTTCTTCTTTATTGTATACAGCAAGAGATGAAGAGAAGGGAAAAAGTTTCAAAGCCAAGTTTTAATTCCCTTTAGGTGTGTTGTGCCTAGGGCATGTGTACAAGGAAAGAGATGGATACTTTCCAAGTAATCTTTCACTGCAGAGATGTCAAAGCTGGGCCTATATTGTGGAAGCAGGTAGCAAAGGCTGTTGGAGAGGGTAGATTTTTTTTCTTCTTAAATCTACTACTTTGAGATTTAAAGCTCTTACTTCATCTAGGTGATCAAGGTAAAAGCTGCCTTCCTTATCTGTGTCTTATCTTTCTAGGTTTCCATGAAGATAAACAACTGAAATGTGGATAGCCTGTTTGTAGCTCGGTGGTAGTTGTCATCTGGAACCTGCTGGTATCTCCTCTGAGTAGCTGGTATAGTGTTGGCAGCTGAGAGCCATGAAGGTTGTCCCAGAGAAGAATGCCGTCCGCATCCTGTGGGGTAGGGAACGGGGTACCCAAGCCTTGGGTGCTCAGCGGCTTCTGCAGGAGTTGGTGGAGGATAAAACTCGATGGATGAAATGGGAGGGCAAGGTAAGGTTGTGGGATAGAGGCTGCATGGCTTGATCTTGGCGTAGGGGAAGGGAGGCAGGGATTTGAAATAAATGGTCTTGTGATTGTACATTTGATGTGTTACACTTGATATGCTCTCTGGCTCTGTTCAGTTCCTGCAGTGATGTGATACTAGATATGTTCCAGCAGCGGGTTCCCCCTGTTGTCTTTGTGGCTTACAGTAAAGTATGATCATATGACTCTTGCAACACTTCCTGCTTTGTTGGCTTTTTCAGAAAGTTGAGTTACCAGACAGTCCACGCTCCACCTTCTTGCTGGCGTTTAGTCCAGACAGGTAATTAACTCCTAGTTCGTTCCCTGTTTCAGAGTCTCCCTACACTTACAAAAGTGATGGAGGCTTGTGCCCACTGAGTTGTCCAGTCCCGAACAGCCGAGTGAAATTTCTGGTTCCTGACATGCATGGATGGAATGTGCACACCTTCCTAATTTCACAGCTTCGAGCACAGTTGATGTTTAATTTCTGAGGTACCCAGGTGATATGAAGTTCTAAGGAAAAAAGATCTGTGCAGCCACCATGGGATTTCATAAGAAACTAGAGGGAGTAAAAAATGTTTTAATACAACACGCCCAAGTTATGTGGCACACTCACTGGGATATCTGGGAATAAAGAACAGAGCAGAATGATGTGTTTATTGAAAGCAGAAATGGAGGTGGGATCCCTCATACCGTCACTTGATTTGACAGTGGTTGAGGTGATATGGAGAATTGGGAATATTTATTTGCCCCATATTGTCACTCAGGAGTTCCTTCTGAGCTGCACGTTCACTCTGACGTTCTGGGTCAAGTTTGTGCTTGCAGATTCAGATGAGGTCATATTTGCATGGACCCTGAAATCTGGCTACAGGAAGTTTTCTGGCCACTGGTGAAACAGTAGCCTCTTAGCCTTTGAGCTCTGTGAGGGAGAGCTGCTGGGTTAGGTGTGAACAGACCCCAACTGTGGTCTGATTCTGATGTACTTTCCCTGTGCTAATGTTTGTCCTACCTTCTGCATTCCTAGGACCCTAATGGCTTCCACACATGTGAACCACAACATCTACATCACAGAGGTGAAAACGGGCAAGTGTGTTCATTCCTTGGTTGGACATCGCCGCACTCCCTGGTGTGTCACCTTCCATCCCACCATCCCAGGCCTCATTGCTTCAGGATGCCTAGATGGGGAGGTTAGAATTTGGGATTTACATGTAAGTCTTTCCTGAAACATACATTCCTTTGATATTTGGCGGGTGGTGACTTTTTTTATCTGAGTTTGTTTTCCAAATGTTACCCGGTAAGAGAGCTCCCAGAAGCTTTACTGGGACCTGTCTCTAAAAGCATAGAACAAAGCATAGCCATCCTCTCCTGTCTAGAGAGGAGGTGACAGATTCTTCGTTCAGTCCTGCCAGTTAGGTCATGCTTCTGCAGGAGTTGGTGGAGGATAAAACTCAATGAAGTAAACTGTGCCTGTTTAGCTTATTAGAGTGATACAGGTAATGCTGGCGAAGTTTGTGCAAGGTGCCTGCTTAGCTTACGTGAAAGACATGCCATTTGTCATTCCACTGAGCGTATCTGAACTGTTCAGTAGAGAAGCTGCTGCTCTGCCAGTTCTACCTAGTCTGGTGACTGGCACAGAGACAAAACACGAGTACTTTTGTCTGGTTGCTCTAAAATGAAGCATTTTTACAGGCTGTTTGAGGTGCACTTACCTCCAAAAATACATCTGTTGTCATTGTTGCAAGTAGCATTACATTCTAGACATGGCACGTGACCTTGTATGGGAACAACTGTTGTTGTTGCTAAGAAGGCATGTCATTTCCAGTGCTCTAGGCAGTCTTATAGATCTGGCACATACATGGAAATTTAATGATCACAAACTTTGTAATAAATTGCTGGTGGTTCTTGACTCCTCACTCTAGGGTGGAAGTGAGAGCTGGTTCACAGACAGCAACAATGCCATTGCATCACTTGCTTTTCATCCTACGGCTCAGCTCTTGCTGATTGCTACTGCCAATGAGATACATTTCTGGGACTGGAGTCGTCGGGAGCCTTTTGCAGTGGTGAAAACAGCCAGTGAAATGGAGCGGGTCAGGTGAGTTCCTGTTTCTGGGTGAAGAGAACACTTGTGTGTGAAAGATGGTCACATCTGGGGGATGTGGGGCATTTCTCTGGGATGCTACACCCTCTGCACCAAGGCAGTGGAGGGAAGTGTTGCTTGCAGCTCCTTGACCCAGCTGATAGAAAACCAGTTCTGTGAGCAGGAAGAAATGCAATTGGAAGTAATAGATCAGCTTGGTTGTTCCTATTTGTAATAGGACATGTGTCCAGTAAATGCCCAGAATCTACTTCATGTTGATTTGTAAGCTTAGTAATTAAACTTGTCAGCCGTAAGGATGAGAGAAACCAGAAGGTGCTGGAAGAGAGTGCTGAGCTATTACTTTGGTGCACTTGTAGAGGAAACTGCATTGCTGGAAACTTGATGCCTTCTTTTGAGCCATTTAAAATAAGACAGTGATGTGACATTCAAGGCAAGTTAATCTCTCCCTTTGTACCAAATTCCATTTTGTAATATAAACATGCATATTCCTTTAAATTTTCTGGTTATTTCAATTGATACAGCAGTACTTACTTCCACCTTTTAACCTCTCTATAGTGTTGCTGTGGACTATAAAATAGCTGCAATCTTCAGCTAGATCAGTACGTTTTGTTCTTCTTAGTGCATAAACTTTTTGGCATCCTTAATAATAAGATGATAATAATGTAGTAATGTTCTCACTGCAAATATTTCCTGTGGGGTTTTCTTCCTTGCTGTGTCCAACTTCCTGTGTCAATGTGGAATGTGAACTGATGATTGATACTCTGGCACTGCTTTTGTTTTAGGCTGGTACGGTTTGATCCCTTGGGACACTACTTGCTCACAGCAATTGTTAACCCTTCTAACCAGCAGGTAAGGGGAATGTCAGTACCCGTATTGACTGGCTAATTACAAGATGCTAATTACAAGATTAACCTTAGTCTGTTTCTAAGCAGCCTGGTGCTTTTCTGAAAACCTGAAGTCCTCCTAAGCTGAATTCTGTCTCATCTTAATTGGTCACATGAATGTTCTTGTGCTATGTGCAGGGCTAATAAAGTGCTTTTCAGAATGTGTTTGTTTTGCCCTCACTGTCTGATTAGTGGTGAGACAGATGTCCCAATGGTCCTGCTCTTACAGTTTTGTTGTGACATTCTTCTGGATTTGAAGTTATTTAAGGTATTAATAATCCTCCCCTGAGATGCTGATTCTTCTGTTTGTATGAACAGTGTGTTGTCAAAGCTCACTGGGAAGAGGTTATCTGTATCCATAAAATGAGCTTGGAAGTCATCTCAATTGGTTTCCTGCAAGTCAAGGGCTTATCACATCCTTCCATCTGTCTAGGGTGGTAGCTGATTTTGGCTGTTTATTTTGAGGTATAGGATTTTGCCTTGAGATGACTGAACTTTGATTGTTTCCTCGTGCAGAGCGATGAGGAAGTGGAAATCTCCGTGGACAGCACAGAGATGCCTCATTATCGTCAGCGCGCTATCCTTCCGTCTCAGCCTGTGAGGCGCACGCCCCTCCTCCACAACTTCCTGCATATGTTGTCCTCCCGCTCCTCTGGCATACAGGTGGGAGAGCAAAACAGTGTCCAAGACTCTGCTACCCCATCCCCTCCACCGCCTCCACCACCACCACCTCCGCCTCCAGCCAGTGAGAACACAAGGGCATCTGTCTATAACAGGCTCCGGGAGCGAGTCAGCTATCCCACAGCAGAGTGCTGCCAGCACCTGGGGATGTTGTGCCTTTGCAGCCGATGCTCTAGTGCAAGACTTCCTTCTTCTCTCTTCCCACACCAGGAAAATGCACCCTCCACGTCTTCTGGGGCCACTGGCACTTCCTTCTCCTCTGTGCAGACAGAGCCTTATCAACCCCCAGAGCAGGCATCTGTAGCGCAGGACGAGCAGGGGATACTTAACAGGCCCTCTGCTTTCAGCACAGTTCAGAGCAGCACTGCTGGCAACACCCTGCGCAACCTTAGCCTGGGCCCCACGCGGCGGTCCCTCAGCGGGCCCTTGGCAGGCCACCAGTCCCGGTACCAACAGTCTGCGAGAGAGATGGCTTCAGGCTTAGGTGGGTCTGACTGGTCCAGGACAGTGCTGAACATGAGCTCTCGGTCTGAGCTGGAAGCCATGCCTCCCCCTAGGACCAGTGCCTCCTCTGTGAGCTTGCTGTCCGTGCTCAGACAGCAGGAGGGAGGTTCCCAGGCATCAGTCTATACCTCTGCAACAGAAGGGAGGGGCTTTCTGACCCCAGGGGCTGAGGTGAACAGTGGTAGTAGCGCTGGCCCGAGCAATCCGGCCAGCATCCGTAATGAGCTCCAGTGTGATTTGAGGCGATTCTTCCTGGAATATGACCGGCTTCAGGAGTTAGATCAGGGGATTGGTGGGGAGCCCAGCCAGTCGCAACAGGCTCAAGAAATGCTCAACAACAACATTGAGCCTGATCGACCGGGTCCCTCCCATCAGCAGACTCCACACAGCAGTGAAAACAATTCCAATTTGTCCCGGGGTCACCTGAACCGCTGTCGTGCTTGTCATAACCTGCTGACCTTTAACAATGACACGCTGCGCTGGGAAAGAAGCACGCCTAGCTACCCACCAGGGCAGGTCCAAAGCACATTTGAGGGTGTGCCTCCAAACACCAGCCAGGTGCAGCCTGCAGAGAGAACCGAGGGCAGAGCTCCTGCCTCTAGCAGACTGCAGCTGGGCAGCTCTTCCACCCCGCAGGAGGAGAGGACCGTGGGATTGGTCTTTAACCAGGAGACGGGGCACTGGGAAAGAGTTTACAGCCAGTCGGCTTCAAGCAGACCTGGGAATGTATCACAGGAGGCCTTAAACCAGGAAATGCCTGAGGAAAGCTCAGAGGAGGATTCACTCAGGAGGTAAGATACATGCTTGCCCTTCCTCCTCTATTTTTTCTTAAACCTTTTACATCTAGTCTGAGGTTTTTCAGTATTTTCAGAGTTAAAAATCTTTTCTCGTCTGGTTGTGTGCTATTCATGTAGGGGAAAATAGAGACATGGTTGTTTATGTCTTTTATAGCTGCTGTTGTCGTGCTGCAGGTGGGTTCTGAAGATTAGGACAGAGAATGGACCTCTAAATGATAGTACGGAGAGGCAAAAGGGCAGGCTCTCACAGCAGAGCTCTGGGTGAGCTGTGCTCCTGGTGTTTCCCAGACACTGCAGAAGGATGGAAATGCAGGATGGTTTATGCTGTCCTTTGTACCCCATATGACACATGGAGAATCTGCCCATGGTTGGCATGGAAAATTGGACATGAGAAGTGAGAATTGCTTTCTTGAGCACTTCGTCTTGTTGAGGTTGTAGTTGTTAAGTTGAAAGGGTTAAGAATAAACTTCTTGATGTTGCCAATAGGGCAAAAGAAGTCAAAGCTCTGTGTCAGTGATTTGGCCATATACCCAAATGTAAGAGTTTGGTCAAAGCTCTTCAGATTGTTTGCCCTTGATAAAAGAGGTAAGTTTTGAAAGTGGCTTCTGTTGACCTGAGCTTGTTGGGGATGTGCTGATCACTGGAAATTTTAGGCTTTACTGTATTCTTCTTTTAAGAAGGTGATTTTTTTTTGGAGGGATATTTCTCTTCTACTTCAGATACGTTACAAGAAACAGGACAAGCTAAATTGAACTTGCATCAGGAAGGAACCTGTACACTTTGTGTGAAGTGTCTTCACTGGCTTGTATGGATGATTTGGCTACAGTGGTACTTTGGATAGGGTTTACTGGGTTTCAGTTTCACATCTTCTCTGTCAAGTGATTTGTGCTCTCGCCAGAGGAAAGGTCCAGTCTTGCTGTTTCTTGGAAATAGATCCTTTGAGCTGTAGGAAAGCAAAATTTTCAGGTTGGATGCAGATGTAACTGACTAAAGTGACTTTTTGTACAAGAGTGCTTGAGCAAAGGGAATTCTTTCCTTCTTCCTGCAGATAAGCTGATTATACTCTGGCTGGAACACTGGCTGCCTTTCTTGTTGCTGTAGTTGCATAGCAAATAAGCAGTAGTGGTCATAAAATTATTCATATGCTTCTAAATCCTTGTCCCAGTTTTTTTTATAGCCTATCATAATGAGAGTCTCAAGCTGATTACATGGTAACTACTTATTTCTTGGGCCTGAACTTACCTACCATTAATTGAAGTCAGATATCCTCTTGGCCCCTATTAAAGGGCAGAGAGGTGAGAAGGAGCTGACAAAAGTTAGCTTTAAAATGGCGCTTGAGTAAGTCTTGTATTATCTTTCTTTCCAAATAGTGGTACTTACTCATATCATCTCCACCTTGTCTCTTGTTTTCTAGGTTGAGTCACTGTAGTGTCAGAAATAACAGGGGCAAATAACCTTTTTATTGATCAGGCAGTTGGCACATATTTGTAGAGTGAGATGTAGTAGGATCTGTAGATGTGATTTTTTTCTGAGATAACTGTATAATTTAAAAATACCCTGAGGCATATAATTCAGTCCACCCCAGCCTGCAGGAGCTCAGTGGGTTACTGTCTAACAATTAGAGTCCTGTGACTAAATCTATGTATCACTTTGCTTGTCATCCATGGTAGTTGCTGCTGCCTGCTGCAGTGGCTGTAGCATCTGTGCAGGGTTACTTGCCTACCTGGTCACCTGAGCAAACAGTGCTTTTTTGGCTGAGCCTTTAATTTGGAGTGCATAGTTTGATGCAAGAGCTTAATTGCAGAGGAATTCCTGTAAGATGAAACCTGTGGCGAAATCTCTCTGGAAGAGGTTGCTGAGAAGCTCACAGGGACTCTTTTTTTTTTGTTTTCCCAGTCTCCTGCCTCTGTTATCAGACCTTTCTCAAGAGCAGGCATGGCAGGGCCTGCTTCCCTTCTGACTGAAGTAGGTTAAGTATAGAGTACTGAGGGAAGAAAGCTGGAAGCAGTAGGCAGTCTGTTATTAAATGCTCATGGTAATTTCCTTGAAGTAAAACTTCCTTTCTTGTTAAACACATCATGTGGGCTTGGGGGCTTTATGAAATCTTTTCCCTTAAAAGGAGCCTTGAATGTGCTGCTGATATAATTTTCTGCCATTCTCAAATTAGCTGTTTATAGTTTTCCTTATAGAACAGTAACAAGTCAGCAAACACCCACTTACCTAACTTTTGCACAGAATGAACATCCTCACACCAAGCCTTCATGTCTCCCAGACCTAGGGTGTGCTTTCACAGTGGGAAGTGCTGGAACCATTCCTGCAGAGCAGAGTCCAGAATGCCTATTAACCTTTGCAGCTGGAGAAGCATGCAAAGATGGTGGCTAAGGGTCATTAGATGTAAGCTGTGTAATGCTGAAAGTGCTGGGGAAATAGAAGAGGGGACGAGTGATAAGTGATAACTGAATACACACTTTCAATCAATGTAATTTTGTGCCTGTTGACCTCAGGTTAATTCTTAGCATTGGAATCCAGGTTTTGCTTGTAACCTGTCTTATAATTCTGTTCTTCTTTATCTCTCCATTAGATGTCCTCATTGGGCAATTGAGCTCTGTATTCAAAGGTCAGCTGTAAAACTTTAAATAAAAATTCTATCTGGAAATTCTGTATGTTCTCATTCTCCATCCACAGGCAAGATTCATTCCCTGACCTGGCCTTCCTGACTGAGAGCTAGCTTGCTGGGAAGACATTGCTATTGAGGGTCAATTAATTTAATGGGGTAGTTTAATGAAGGCTGTTCTTTGCATTCTCTTGATGTTGCTATGTCAGCTGGGTTGGGAGAGAATTCTGCTCTTTCTCATGGTACTGGACTAATTATTTTGGGCTAATCACAAAGGTGATAATCATGTAGTGACACTATCCATGACTAACAGGTCTGGCACCTCTGTCAGGAGGAGCATCTCACTGGGGGCCTCAGCAGTACAGAGAGTCCTATCACATTCAGCTTGGCCTGAAAGCAGTGTGGGCGTTGAGCTGTGTCCTTCAAGTTAGGCCAGTGAAGTATGAGCTTGGGGAAGGTTTACAATCTACATTAAGCAGAAATTGGTGAGACTGAGCTTTAGGTTTTCTGAGGTTCTACAGCCTGATCTCATTAATTCAAATATAGGGGGTTTTCCCCTGTGGTTGTCTCTGCCTCACTTCTAACATCAAAGTGAAAAGAACCTCAGAAATCCCTGAAGTTGTCATGTGAAATGTACTGCGTAAAATTGGTGATAGAAACTGTTGGAAAGATGTAGATGAAGGGAAGATAAGTGAGCAACAGATGATAGCTGGCTTAATTTTTCTGTAACTTTCTGTTAATTAAAATATGTGTTGAGGAAGCATTGTGTTAATACTGTAATCTCAGTGAGGGAAGAGATTATTTTATGTACTTTAGATGTTGGTTTGTGGGCCAGTTGAGGTTGATAATGAAAAGTTGGTCAGGGAATGAAAGAGGATTCTGTCAGCTGCTTTTTTGAGAGAAGCTAATGATATATAGAATCCTAGTTCATCAGTTAATGATAGGTACACTGCAATGCTGACTAATAAAATTGATCCAGATTTTTTCTCTTCAGTTATTTTAAGATCACACAAGTGACATCTACAGAACTAGTGTGTTTTTTTCAGAAAAAAAAGGAAAATAATTTGCGTTTAAATCTGTTGTTGTTTCTGAGTCCTGGCATGATGCCCCAGGCCACAGTATTTCTGGAATGGATGCAGGGAGCAAGTGGTGACCATGTTGACCATCCCGTTGATGCATCTCAAACCTTATTCTGTGAAACAATACCTATAAATGGGGAAAAGGATGAGGAAAATTGTCCTCCATAGATGTAAGATTTAACTGCTTATACTGTATGAAGTGGACAATTTTGATATTGTTTACCTTTTTATTTTGTCTAGAGATTTGAATGCATTACTACAAATGAAAGGTGTGTCCTGTCCTGTTGCCAGGCAGGTTTGCATGAAACCCACGTTTCAGAAGGAAACACTTATTATCCTGATTCTTCCATCAAGAATCTTTGTCTGGCAATTATGTTAAACTTCTCTAAACACTCCACTGCACTCATTCCAGAGGTCAAATTCTGTAGACCGTGGTGCTAGTAACTTCTGTGCCTGCATCTTAGGAATGCATAATGTTTTCACCTGGCCTCACCTATGTAGTTTGACAGACAAGACACACTATTGAAATTATCTGAACATCTGAGAAGTCTTTTGAACTGTCCTGAGTGATGGTTTTGCCTTGCATACAAGTAGAAAGGAGTGAGTGTCTGTGAGGTGGGGGAGTTTTTGTCTGGGGACACCTGTATAAACTCCTTTATTTTATTTGTGAGTGTATAAAAGGCAGAGTTCACAGTGCTGTGCAAATAATTGACCTGCTGAAGTTGCACGGCTTACCAAAGGCATTGCTTTTTGATGTGTTCTAGTATGTTAGACACACTGTGCACAAGTGACAAGTGAAGACCAGATTCTCTGGAACCATTTAACAGGGTCCAGGATCAAATTTTGTCAGCTCTTGTCTGAGGACTCTGATTCCTCCTGCTTACGTTCTTGCTATGAGGTGTGAACCCAGTCTTTTCTCCTGAGTGAAGATTGTGTGCACTCAACCTGAATGAGAAAGCTACATATAGGATTGTAAATGTGATCCAGGTGTCAGTGCTGTATGTCACAAGCAAGTTTGGCTGTGTTTCATTTAGGAAGTTTTAAATGCTCTAACTGTGATTTCACCTGTTAGCCTGTGGACCTTGGTGCCCTGCTCTTGTCAGGCAAGTAGAAGCCTGACATAACACCGGGTGCAGCAGGGTGAGAGTGGTGGTACCATTCTCACCTGCCCGGGTAGTACAGTGACTCCAGCTCACACCACATCTCTCTTCGGTCTTGATGACCTTTCTGACAGCATATAGCTCTCCATACTTAGAGCGTGTATGAAAAGAAGCACCTGGTCTGTTCCCCTTGGATTTTCT